ATTATTACAGTATAAATTATTATATCTTATATAATTACAGTATAAATTATTATATTATTACAGTATAAATTATATTAAATGTAATATTACTGTATAAATTATATTATTGTTACAGCATACATTATTATATTAATAGTAATTATTACAGTAAAAATTATTATATCTTATATAATTACAGTATAAATTATTATATTACAATATACATTATATTAATAGTAATATTACAGTATAAATTATTATATCTTATATAACTACAGTATAAATTATATTATTGTCACAGTATACATTATATTATTATTACAGTATAAATTGTTATATTATTACTGTATAAATTATTATATCTTATATAATTACAGTATAAATTATATTATTGTTACAGTATACATTATATTATTATTACAGTATAAATTGTTATATTATTACTGTATAAATTATTATATCTTATATAATTACAGTATAAATTATTATATTATTGTTACAGTATACATTATGTTATTATTACAGTATAAATTGTTATATTATTACTGTATAAATTATTATATCTTATATAATTACAGTATAAATTATTATATTACAGTATAAATAATTATATCTATTATTACAGTATTAATTATATTATTACTTTTATTAGTAATATTACAGTAGAAATTTGTATTATATTGTTAACTGTATTAATATTACAGTATACATTTTTATATTGTTATTCATTTTATTAGTAGTAATAATATAATTTATGCTGTCATAATAATAACTCACATTGTAATAATAACTTATACTGTAATAATAGTAATAATTTATACTGTAATAATGGTCAATGAGTCCATGAAGGGAGATGGGGAATTGTATAGCCATGCACACTGTAAATATTATTGGACTGCACACAAGGAAATGTAGATTCCTACTTTGACATCAGGCTCTGAAGATTTCATATGAGATAAGAAACTAACTGACAACTGTCAGAGAATCCTGACCTTCCCATTATTATTACATCACTGGGAATGCTGGGCGTAGACCACAAACACTGACTAAGTGGGACTTTATGGGAAATAAATGTTATAACTTTACAGACGTCCCATGTGTTGTTAGACCTGTACTCTTTCCTGAATGAAACTAAACTCACAGTAGTTCAGTTTAAATATTTGTATGGCATATGCTCACATCATTAGGTTTTTATAAACTGTTACGGGACCTCTTCCGGGAACCCGACCGGTTACCTCCCATTAGTTCCCTTCCTTCGGTCGATCAGGAACTCTTGCATGATTAGGGGACTTAGCTATATGCGTTCCCAGGCTGAGACGACACTCGGCCCTGGTAGCTCTTAGTCCTTACAAGGACTTTTACCCGTTGCATCCCCTGCAACCTGGAACAGCAGACACAGGGGTTAAATCTTCCTTCCCTCCAATAACAAGACGACACACAGTTTTGGAGTTTTAAGCACTGGACTCTGCCAAACCTTATTCAACACAGACTTCTTTTATGCACAGACCCCCTCACTTCCCTTAGTCCCAGGCAGGAGGGGACTTGGTTACAGATAGCCATCTCCCGCACTGGGAGATACCAAACAGTACACAGAGATACACATTAAACCATGGTACCTTCGGGGTGGGGGGTTACAATTCGGGGTTTGTGGTCCCTGGAAGGGGTTACAGGGTTGAAGCCTACATCGATAGATAGCCCCGGGTCCCTATCTGTCTGGATTTCATTTCTAACCTTATATTTCAGAAGTTGTTGTCTTTTCTAATTCCTTACAGGTTTGTTCTAAAAATGACCTATGATATCCCTTTTCTAAAAATTGTTCTTTTAAAATCTTGACTTGTTGGATGTATTCTTGATTTTGAGTACAATTACGTTTAACTGTTAAAAATTGTCCCTTCAGAGTATTGTTTAACCAAGGTTTAAATGGCAGCTAGTACAATCAATAAAACTATTAACGTCTACTGACTTAAAAAAAGTTTTGCTTTTAATCTGTTGATCTTCTGTATAAATAGATAGAACAAAAAAATTGATTTGTGATGTTCCATTCATTAACTTTAAGAGAATCTATGAATAGTTTTAAAGACTCTTTGCTGCCTTTCCAAATAATAAAAATATAATCGATGTAACGTTTATAGAGGACCAGGTTTGCCCCAATGTCTTCTCTGGAATAGATAAAAAGTTTTTCCCAGTAAGACCTAAAAAGGTTTGGATAACTAGGGGCAAAGCTGGTCCCCATTGCCGTACCTTTAACCCCTTAAGGACTGGACTGTTTTTGCGATGTTGTACATTTGCGACCAGGAATATTTTTACACTTTTCTGGTGTTTGTGTTTGGCTGTAATTTTCCGCTCTCTCATTTACTGTTCCCATACAAATTATATATTGTTTTTTTCAGGACAAAAGGGGCTTTCTTTACATACCATTATTTATATAATCTCATGTATTTTAATTTAAAAAAAATAAAAAAAATATGATGAAAAATTGAAAAAATACATGTTTTTTGACTTTTACTTGAAAAATCTTTTACTCATCTACAAAAGCGAATGAAAAAAACTGCTAAATAGATTCAAAATTTTGTCCTGAGTTTAAAAATACCCAGTGTTTACGAGCTTTTTTGCTTTTTTTTGCATGTTATAGGGCTATAGGTACAAGTAGGATATTGCGGTTTCAAAACATGCATTTTAAAAATTTATCAATAGTGACATTGTAACACTATTATCTGTCATAAATCTCTGAATAACACCCCACATGTACATATTTTTTTTAAAGTAGACAACCCAGGGTATTCAATATGGGTTATGTCCAGTCTTTTTTAGTAGCCACTTAGTTGAAAACACTGGCCAATGTAAGCATTCATATTTGTTTGTGTGTGAAAAAAGTAAAAAAACTAAATTGAACGCTAATTTTGGCCAGTGTTTGTGACCAAGTGGTTACTAAAAAAGACTGGACATACCCCATTTGCAATACCTTGGGTTGTCTTCTTTTGCAAATGGTATGCCATCATGGGGGTAATTCTCATTCCTGGGCTACCATACGCTCTCAAAGGCAACGTAACCAACCTGGCCATTTTCAATGTAAAAATATTTGACCCATGTATTTGACCTTGTAACTTTCAAAAATGCTATAAAACCTGTACATGGGGGGTACTGTTTTACTCGGGAGACATCGCTGAACACATATATTAGTGTTTAAAAACTGGAAAACGTATCACAACAATTATATCATCAGTAAAAGTGCTGTTTGTGTGTGAAAAATGCAAAAAAAGTAACTTTCACTGACAATATCATCGCTGTGATATGTTTTACTGTTTTGAATCACTAATATTTGTGTTCAGCGAAGTCTCCCGAGTAAAACAGTACCCCCCATGTACAGGTTTTAGGGTGTCGTAGAACGTTACAGGGTAAAATACAGTGCTAGCAAATTAAATTCTCTGGAATTTCGGCCTGGGTTGGCAGGCAGGTCCCTCAAATTGCAATCAATAAAATTACTGAATTATGTAAAATATTACATAAATACGCACGTAGAATTTAAATATATATGCATATTTATATATTTGAAGTCTACGTGTATATTTATATAATTATTTATGTAATTTTGTATATGGACATATGTATATTTCGTATTATTTTTATTTATTTTTATATATATAGATATATATACAAATTCATTCTAAGTGTATTTTGATATAAATATATATATATTAATTTTAAAATACAGTTAGAATAAAATTTCATATAGCTATATAATTTTTTTAAAAATTTTTATTATTATTTTAAAAAAAATTTATTTAATTTAAATTACTTATTATTTATATTTTATAATAATATATATATACAATCTATATAGTTATTATATATATTATATATATACGTGTGTAATTTAATTATAAGTGTATTTTTATACTAATATAAGTACATATTAATATAAAAATACACTTAGTATGGCATTATATATATGATATATAGACATATATTATATAGATATAATATATGTCTATATATCATATATACACATATATAATTATTTTTATTTTTTTTATTAACATTAACTTTATTTTTTTTTTGATTTTACACATGCAGGGAGACTGCCTGTCAGCACAGACAGTCCCCCTGCAGGCAGACACATGGACACCTATTGTGACCATGTGATCGCTGTGTTAAGCGATCACATGGCCACAGGGGTCCTAATCAGTGTGGGGAGACTGTCTGGGCTGCAGACAGTCTCCCCACAACCGGAGCAACGCTGATCGCCGCCGGGGGAACGACGGCGATCAGGTAAGTAACGGAAACCGTTAGGACGGTTCAGGACCGTCATCGGTCCGCAATGGGAAAATCCCGATGACGGTCCTGAACCGTCCTCGGTCGGGAAGGGGTTAATCTGGAGATAAAATTTACTACTGAACCAGAAAAAAAATATATTTTTTAAAAGCATGTTTATTCCCTCGATTAAAACATCTATTTGAGTACTGGAAACGTCTCCAAATTTCGTTAAAAAATGCCTGGTGGCCTCGCACCCTTTCTCATGCTGAATGGTGGCATAGAGACTACTCACGTCACAAGTGGCCATAAAAATTATTTAAAAGACTCATAGTGTCTTTTAAGTGTGCTTGACATTGCTTTACCGGGCTTTGCAAAATATAATCAATATACTGGGATAATGGCTGTAACGGCACCCTCAGGCATAAACGGGGTAAAGCGCCATTTAGTAGATCTTCCCTTTCCAGAGACACAGGCACAGCTACTGCAGAACACCAAACTCCCAAACTGGATACAAGGGAATGATCCAAACTCCCGAACTGGAACCACACGAATAGCTGCTAGCAGCTGAACAGGAAAAGCACCCAAGCGGCTTACACTCCTGGCAATCAGTCTCTAACAGCATACAGTAAATCCCCCCAAAAACAAGACAAAGCTCCATGTTGAGGGTCAAGCAGTGAACAGACAGATCTGTGGGTTTATTGTTCTTATATACAAATTCTTACACATTAGTACCACCCACAGGGTTTTGGAAAACAACCAATAAACATGTACAATACACTCAGACACTCCCACACAAAATCCTCCCCTCTGCCTGTGATACAATTACCTTACACAATGGGTAATGTAATTATCACAGGCAGAGAAATACAGTTTTTCCACATAATTCACAATTTTAAAAGAATGCATCACATTCACATACATTTTCAGAATCAGCATACTCCAAATTCAAACATAAGTCAAAATCATACAAATTGGTCCATTGGTTCAAAAGATAGATCGTAGTCCTTTGTGGCCAAATGAAGCATGGCTTTTCTGCCCAAAACCACAGAGTCTTCTATCCTGGAGATAACTGGGAAGTAATACAATTATCTCCAAGGTCAGAGGCAAAACTCACATGGCAGCAAAAGACAATAAAATACATAAAAATATATAACTGTGCAGCTATTGCATAAAACAGGTACATTCATATCCCCAGATAGCTCAGATCTGAGCGCACATTATTACTGAATGGCGTTCATATCACATACATACAGTTCAATTGCCATGGAGCCAAAGTCTTTCCCATAGTCTTTCATTATACGAATGGGCTCCATGGCATAGCTATCTGGGGTATCACTGCTCAAACAGGGCAAGCACCAAATGACCCGGCTTTCATGTCTTTGCAGGGGAAAATCAAGTGTTTCAACATGGGGCCATAGTCTAAAGGCAGCAGGCGGGCAACCAGGCTCCTCCAATGCACAGTGACGAGATTGGTCTCGTCACAATGGCGATAAAAGGGATCCAATGCCAGACACTATAGGCCTTCCCGGTGGAAGCATTTTTATGGACATTGGGGAGATCATAAAAGACCAGTATTCTTGGGAATTGGACATCAAAAAAAATCTAACTCTTTTTTTTTTTTTTTTTTTTTAATTCCATCACATAATCCCTTGTTTAAAAATGTCTTATAATAATTTTGAATTCTTACCAGGGGGTTATTGGGGAGTTCCATGTAAGTGGTTTGATCTCTTAGTTGGATGGATAGATATATATATATATATATATATAATATTACTCCTGCTCCCTTATCTGTTGGTGTCACTACAATTGTTGGGTCACTCTGGAAATCTTTAAGTGCTAAGTTTTCTTTCCTAGTTAGATTATCTTGCTGTTTATGTATAGGTTTAATATTTCTATATTCCGTTAAACATAACGTTTCAAATACTTTAATTGAATCAGACTTTAAATTATTTAGGTAAAAAGTCAATTTTCTTTTCTTCAATGTAGTGTGTTTAAAGATATCTTTATCTCCAGCATTTTCTTTGTAAGGAAAATTATTGAAAAATCTTTATAACCCCTTAAGGACACATGACATGTCATGATTGCCTTTTATTCCAGAAGTTTGGTCCTTAAGGGGTTAAACATAATTTTCTTCCAAACGACTGATGTCTGTTACGGTACCTCCAGTAGTAAATGCACAAACCGCCGTTTAGTGAATGCTCCCCGTTCGCAATAATGTGGTCTGGTAGCGTATGCAGTGTAACCATGCGAACCGCCAGCTAGGGAACACTCCAAACTCCCGAACGGTACCTGTACGGCTCTTTCCCTTCTCGAGTTCCAAATGCACGAATCGCCACGAGCAGCCGAACGGCAATAGTTTCCAAGCGGCAAATAATCCCAATAAGCAGTCTCTAGTCGCCGGTAATAAAATCCCCCCCAATAACGAGACCAAGCTCCGCTTTGAGGGTAAAACACGAACTGAGTTTACTGTGGGCTACCTGCCTGTATTTATGCAGGTCTCCCACTTGGTGGACACTCCCTTAGGGGACCAAATGGGAGACTGGTATAACAGAAGCACATGGGGACATTTCAGACATACAACCCCACAATATTCCCAGCATGCATCACAGTTTCCTCCCCTCTGCTCGGGAGATAATTGGGAAGCAGGGCCGGACTGGGAAAAAAATTCGGCCCGGGCATTTTTTATCACAGCGGCCCACTAAGAAGGGGGCGGGGCAGAGAGGGTGTGTTTTGTCATCACGCATGACAAACACGCCCCCTCTCAAAGTGAGCATGTTGGTTCAATGCTCTTCCAGGGCAGACCATGCACAGAGCTCTGCTGAAGAGCTCTAGCATGAGAAAAAAGCCCTGTATTTGTTCTGCACAGTGCAAGCAAATTTAATAACATGCTTGCACTGTGTTTCCTTGCAACTTGTCTCTGGTGTCTCTATAAATGGATACCAGGAGACAAAAGGGCCAGGAAAGAGTATTGTGCATGTGTTTGGAGCCTGCTTGGGGTATTGCGTGTGTGCAGAGTGAGCTGGTCGTGGTGTGGTATTGTGTAGGTCGGTTTTAGTTGTGTTTGTGGTGTAATGTAATGCATATGTGGCTAGGGGCTTTAGAGAATGTGTGTTTAGGGGATGTAGCAAGTGTGTGTATACAGGCTATAGTGTGTGTGTGTGTAGGTGATGTAGTGTTTGTAGAGAGTGTGTGTTCAGGGAATGTAGTATGTGTTTGCTTACAAGGAATCTAGTGTGCGTAAAGGGGATCCAGAGTGTGTGTGTGTTTGAAGGACCCAGAATATGTATAGGAGATCTAGTGAGCGTGCGTATATAATGGATTCAGAGTGTATATAGGGATCTAGTGTGTGTATGTGTGTAGATGATCCAGAGTTGGGTAGAGGATCTAGTGTGTGTCTGGAATGAAATGTGTTTAGGGGTGCTGTGTGTGTGTGTGAGGGGTGCTGTGTGTATATTTATATGTGTATATATATTATATAAATATGTTTGGAAGTATTGTGTATGTGTGTGATGCAGTGTATCGGGGGGTTGTGTGTGTATGTGAGGGGTGCAGTATGTGTGTGATGGATCCTGTGTGTGAGATGTGGGTGCTGTGTGAGGGTGTTGTGTGTGTGAGGGTGCTGTATGTGTGGGTGCTGTATGTGATTGATTTGTGTGAGGGTGCTGTGTGTGGGTGCTGTGTATGATGTGTGTGAGAGTGTTGTGAGTGCTGAATGTGAGTGCTGAGTGTTATGTGTTTGAGAGTGATGAGTGAGAGTGATGTGTGAGAGTGCTGAGTGTGAGAGTGCTGTGTATGTGTGTGAGAGTGCTGTGTTTGATGTGTGTGAGAGTGCTGTGTGTGTTATGTGTGAGAGTGCAGAGTGTGATGTGTGTGAGAGTGCAGAGTGTGATGTGTGTGAGAGTGCAGAGTGTGATATGTGTGAGAGTGCAGAGTGTGATGTGTGTGAGAGTGCAGAGTGTGATATGTGTGAGAGTGCTGTGTATGAAGTGTGTGAGAGTGCTGTGTATGATGTGTGTGAGAGTGCTGAGTGTGATATGTGTGAGAGTGCTGTGTATGATGTGTGTGAGAGTGCAGAGTGTGATGTGTGTGAGAGTGCAGAGTGTGAGAGTGCTGTGTATGATGTGTGTGAGAGTGCTGTGTATGATGTGTGTGAGAGTGCTGAGTGTGATGAGTGTGAGAGTGCTGTGTATGATGTGTGTGAGAGTGCTGTGTGTGTGAGTGCAGGTGTGATGTGTGTGAGAGTGCTGTGTATGATGTGTGTGAGAGTGCTGTGTGTGTTATGTGTGAGAGTGCAGAGTGTGATGTGTGTGAGAGTGCTGTGTATGATGTGTGTGAGAGTGCTGTGTGTGAGAGTGCTGTGTGTGAGAGTGCTGAGTGTGATGTGTGAGAGTGAAACTGCTGTGTATGATGTGTGTGAGAGTGCTGTGTGTGAGAGTGCTGAGTGTGATGTGTGAGAGTGCAGAGTGCTGAGTGTGAGAGTGCTGTGTATAAATGTGTGTGTGGGGGGGTAAATAAACAAATAAAAAACTATGGGGGGGGTAAATAAAGAAATAAAAAAAAAAAACTAAGTAGGCATTAAATCCCCCCTTCCTCTTACCTTTAGCCTGGGAGGGGGGGACAGGCACGTGGTGTCTGGGAGGAGGGGGACCGGCACATTCACATCATCCTGAGGGCTAGAGTTCACTCTCGCGAGATCGGCGCGTTGCAATGGCAGCGCGCCGGATCTCGCGAGAGGAACCGGGCGGAGCTACAAGATAGAGCTCCGCCGGGTCCTCTCCCTCCCTCCCCAGCCGCCGGTCTGTTTAAATGGGCCGGTGAGGGAGAGCTTGGATCTCCCCACCGGCCCTCCATGGCAAACAGCGGGGCAGGCGCTCAGATAGTGCCGGCCCTGCATAGACCGGCAGGGGAGATCCTGAGACCTCCCCTGCCGGCCTCGGCCCATGGCCACGGCGGCCCACCGGGCATTTGCCCGGTGTGCCCGATGGCCAGTCCGGGCCTGTTGGGAAGTAATTCAATTATCTCCCCGAGCAGAGGCACATCGCCATTTTAACTCAAAGTTATAAAACAGATTAAAATCCATAACTTTATAACTGCCGAACGTATTGCATTCGTATAACACATCCCCAGATAGCCTGGATCTGAGTGCATATTATTGGCGAATAGCGCTCAGATCCCATACGCATAGTTCAATCGCCATGGAGCCAAAGTCTATTACAGCTCTTCGGTATGCGATTGACTCCATGGGAAGGCTATCTGGGTTAAGTCCATTCGTGTTGTTAAATCTCCCGAATGGCCGGTATTCGTATGCTTTTGTCGATTGAAAAGGGGAGGTCGACGGCTTCAGCAGTGTTTGGTTGAAAAAGTGTCATTTCTCTTCTGGGTGGCCGTCCGTTCGGTAGTTCCGTTCGACAAAAAAGATACATTCCCTTAATTAAGTCATACGAATGGAGAAATTCATGCAAACGGCAAAACAGACAAACACAGTACTTTTAGTCCATACGGATGGGTCTGTCACAATGTCTAAAAACGATTCAAATTTAATAAACAACTAAGAACAAACTTAAAAGCTTTATTTAAAAAACTTGCATATGTGAATTTGTTAACATTTTGTTAGATAAACAATTCAAAAATGATGTTTTTTCTTCCATATTGTCTCTTCCGTCCTCCTTTTCTCGTCTTTTCTGCTCTCTATTTCTCCTTCTTCCCTTTCTCTCTGTCGCCTGGGATGAATCCTGGTCTAAAAAAGGATTTTCCTTTTCTAAATACCTCAGTTTATCAAAACGGTTAAAAAGAGAAATATTGGGAGCTTGCTGATTTTCGTTTTTTAATAATCTAGTTCAGCAGTTCCCAAGCCAGCAGGGCTGGGAACGTGGTTGAAGGTCCATCGGGTGGCCCATGCACTCAGGGCTGCCCACTGGGAATGTGCCATGAGGGGCCTCTTGTAATGTGCAGGGGAGGGGTGGGAACCATACACTCAGGGCTGCCCACTGGGAATGTGCCATGAGGGGCCTCTTGTAATGTGCAGGGAGGGGGGGATGGGAAACATACACTCAGGGCCGCCCGCTGGGAATGTGCCATGAGGGGCCTCTTGTAATGTGCAGGCTATGTTGTTATTTGTGTATACACATATATTTCATCCTTTTTTAATGTATTTTTATGAATTGTGAGGGTGTAGATTTATTCCGGGTCCGTGGAACGCAAGATGGAACGCATACGGCGCATGCAATGACGTCAAACACACAGAGAATGCCGCCAAAACGGAAGTTGAACACCGGCCGGGAATCATCTGATAATTAATTGTATGGGGGATATATAAAAGAACTGTGGGAGGGAAACTTTTTATTGCTGTTATTACTGCTGTATTTGTTTCACCAAGTCCCTGAGGAAGTCCAATTATAGGATGAAACACGTAGGACGCTCCTATGGTAACATGTGATTTGTTTGATACTTAAATGTAAGTTATAAAAAATGTTTTACTATACTCTGGAAGTGCACTACATTTTTTGTATTTTTTTTCCTTTTGAGCCATATATGCCAATTTACTGACGGAAGTGTGAGGAGGGACAATACAGTGGACATTGAAGGAAAATATACCATTCAAGGCTGCTTTTACATCAGAAAATTTGTGAGTGACCAATTGTGACTGCACACTGTCATTAACTCCCACACAGTTAAACGTTATTTTATTTGTATTTAGCAGACTATCCCCTATTCTATTTGTATGTATATCTGTGTGTCTGTGTATATCTGTGTGTCTGTGTATTAGAATGTGTGTCTGTGTGTATATCTTTGTGTCTGTGTGTTAGCATGTGTGTCAGTGTGTATATCTGTGTGTCTGTGTATTAGAACGTGTGTCAGTGTGTATATCTGTGTGTCTGTGTATTAGAATGCGTGTCAGTGTGTATATCTGTGTGTCTGTGTATTAGAATGCGTGTCAGTGTGTATATCTGTGTGTCTGTGTATTAGAATGTGTGTCAGTGTGTATATCTGTGTGTCTGTGTATTAGAATGCGTGTCAGTGTGTATATCTGTGTGTCTGTGTATTAGAATGCGTGTCAGTGTGTATCTGTGTATTGGAATGTGTTTCAGTGTGTATATCTGTGTGTCTGTGTATTAGAATGTGTGTCAGTGTGTATATCTGTATGTCTGTGTATTAAAATGTGTGTCAGTGTGTATATCTGTGTGTCTGTGTATTAGAACGTGTGTCAGTGTGTATATCTGTGTGTCTGTGTATTAGAATGTGTGTCAGTGTGTATATCTGTGTGTCTGTGTATTAGAATGCGTGTCAGTGTGTATATCTGTGTGTCTGTGTATTAGAATGCGTGTCAGTGTGTATCTGTGTATTGGAATGTGTTTCAGTGTGTATATCTGTGTGTCTGTGTATTAGAATGTGTGTCAGTGTGTATATCTGTATGTCTGTGTATTAAAATGTGTGTCAGTGTGTATATCTGTGTCTGTGTATTAGAATGTGTGTCATTGTGTATATCTGTGTCTGTGTATTAGAATGTGTGTCATTGTGTATATATGTGTCTGTGTGTTAGAATGTGTGTCAGTGTGTATATCTGTGTGTTAGAATGTGTGTCAGTGTGTATATCTGTGTGTCTGTGTATTAGAATGTGTGTCAGTTTGTATATCTGTGTGTCTGTGTATTAGAACTTTGTAAAACAGTACAATGTGAGCAAGATATTACGTTGCTGCAGAGGGATTTAGATAGAATGGGGGACTGGGCACTCAAATGGCAGATGAAATTTAATGTTGAAAAATGCAAAGTTATGCACTTCGGCGTAAAGAATACACAAGCAACGTATACCCTTAATGGAAGCCAATTAGGGATAACAACACATGAAAAGGACTTGGGAATTGTTATAGACAACAAACTATGCAACAATGTGCAATGTCAATCAGCAGTGGCCAAGGCCAGTAAGGTATTGTCATGCATGAAAAAGGGCATTCATTCTCGGGACAAGAATATAATTTTGCCTCTTTATAAATCACTGGTAAGACCCCATATTGAATATACTGTGCAATTTTGGGCACCTGTTCTAAAGAAGGATATTATGACACTAGAAAAAGTGCAGAGGTGGGCTACAAAACTAATAAAAGGAATGGAACTTATCGGCTATGAAGAAAGGTTAACAAATTTAAACCTATTTAGTTTAGAAAAAATGTTGTCTGAGAGGGGAAATGATAACATTATACAAATATATTCGGGGCCAATACAAACCATTGTGTGGAAATCTATTCACAAACCGGACTTTACATAGGACACGAGGCCATGCATTTAGACTGGAAGAAAGAAGATTTCGTCTAAGGCAAAGGAAAAGGTTTTTTTACTGTCAGAACAATCAGGATGTGGAATTCTCTGCCTGAAAAAGTGGTTTTATCAGAGTCCATACAGATGTTCAAACGGCTACTAGATGCATACTTGCAAGAACAGAATATTCAAGGATATAATCTTTCAATGTAGGGTAATAACTGCTTGATCCAAGGATAAATCTGACTGCCATTCTGGGGTCAAGAAGGAATTTTTTTCCTAGCTTGTTGCAAAATTGTCCTTCAAACTGGGTTTTTTTGCCTTCTTTTGGATCAACAGCAAAAAACAAATGTGAGGTAGGCTGAACTTGATGGACGCAAGTCTCTTTTCAGCTATGTAACTATGTAACTATGTAGAATGTGTGTCATTGTGTATATCTGTGTGTCTGTGTATTAGAATGCGTGTCATTGTGTATATATGTGTCTGTGTGTTAGAATGTGTGTCAGTGTGTATATCTGTGTGTCTGTGTGTTAGAATGTGTGTCAGTGTGTATATCTGTGTGTTAGAATGTGTGTCAGTGTGTATATCTGTGTGTCTGTGTATTAGAATGTGTGTCAGTGTGTATATCTGTGTGCCTGTGTGTTAGAATGTGTGTCAGTGTGTATATCTGTGTGTCTGTGTATTAGAGTGTGTCAGTGTGTATATCTGTATGTCTGTGTATTAGAATGTGTGTCATTGTGTATATCTGTGTCTGTGTGTTAGAATGTGTGTCAGTGTGTGATAGAATGTGTCAGTGTGTATATCTGTATGTCTGTGTGTTAGAATGTGTGTCAGTGTGTATATCTGTGTGTCTGTGTGTTAGAATGTGTGTCAGTGTGTATATCTGTGTGTCTGTGTGTTAGAATGTGTGTCAGTGTGTATATCTGTGTGTCTGTGTATTAGAATGTGTGTCAGTGTGTATATCTGTATGTCTGTGTATTAGAATGTGTGTCATTGTGTATATCTGTGTCTGTGTGTTAGAATGCGTGTCAGTGTGTATATCTGTGTGTCTGTGTATTAGAATGCGTGTCAGTGTGTATATCTGTGTCTGTGTATTAGAATGTGTGTCATTGTGTGATAGAATGTGTCAGTGTGTATATCTGTATGTCTGTGTGTTAGAATGTGTGTCAGTGTGTATATTTGTGTGTCTGTGTGTTAGAATGTGTGTCAGTGTGTCTGTGTATTAGAATGTGTGTCAGTGTGTATATCTGTATGTCTGTGTATTAGAATGTGTGTCATTGTGTATATCTGTGTCTGTGTGTTAGAATGCGTGTCAGTGTGTATATCTGTGTGTCTGTGTATTAGAATGCGTGTCAGTGTGTATATCTGTGTCTGTGTATTAGAATGTGTGTCATTGTGTGATAGAATGTGTCAGTGTGTATATCTGTGTGTCTGTGTATTAGAATGTGTGTCAGTGTGTATATCTGTGTGTCTGTGTATTAGAATGTGTGTCAGTGTGTATATCTGTGTGTCTGTGTATTAGAATGTGTCAGTGTGTATATCTGTATGTCTGTGTGTTAGAATGTGTGTCATTATGGCCTTATCTCTGTGTGTCTGTGTGTGTGTTAGAATGCGTGTCAGTGTGTATATCTGTGTGTCAGTGTGTCTGTGTGTTGTGTATTAGAATGTGTGTCAGTGTGTATATCTGTGTGTCTGTGTATTAGAATGTGTGTCAGTGTGTATATCTGTGTGTGTGTGTTAGAATGTGTGTCAGTGTGTATATCTGTGTGTCTGTGTATTAGAGTGTGTCAGTGTGTATATCTGTATGTCTGTGTATTAGAATGTGTGTCATTGTGTATATCTGTGTCTGTGTGTTAGAATGTGTGTCAGTGTGTGATAGAATGTGTCAGTGTGTATATCTGTATGTCTGTGTGTTAGAATGTGTGTCAGTGTGTATATCTGTGTGTCTGTGTGTTAGAATGTGTGTCAGTGTGTATATCTGTGTGTCTGTGTGTTAGAATGTGTGTCAGTGTGTATATCTGTGTGTCTGTGTATTAGAATGTGTGTCAGTGTGTATATCTGTATGTCTGTGTATTAGAATGTGTGTCATTGTGTATATCTGTGTCTGTGTGTTAGAATGCGTGTCAGTGTGTATATCTGTGTGTCTGTGTATTAGAATGCGTGTCAGTGTGTATATCTGTGTCTGTGTATTAGAATGTGTGTCATTGTGTGATAGAATGTGTCAGTGTGTATATCTGTATGTCTGTGTGTTAGAATGTGTGTCAGTGTGTATATTTGTGTGTCTGTGTGTTAGAATGTGTGTCAGTGTGTCTGTGTATTAGAATGTGTGTCAGTGTGTATATCTGTATGTCTGTGTATTAGAATGTGTGTCATTGTGTATATCTGTGTCTGTGTGTTAGAATGCGTGTCAGTGTGTATATCTGTGTGTCTGTGTATTAGAATGCGTGTCAGTGTGTATATCTGTGTCTGTGTATTAGAATGTGTGTCATTGTGTGATAGAATGTGTCAGTGTGTATATCTGTGTGTCTGTGTGTTAGAATGTGTGTCAGTGTGTATATCTGTGTGTCTGTGTGTTAGAATGTGTGTCAGTGTGTATATCTGTGTGTCTGTGTATTAGAATGTGTGTCAGTGTGTATATCTGTATGTCTGTGTATTAGAATGTGTGTCATTGTGTATATCTGTGTGTCTGTGTATTAGAATGCGTGTCAGTGTGTATATCTGTGTGTCAGTGTGTGATAGAATGTGTCAGTGTGTATATCTGTGTGTCTGTGTATTAGAATGTGTGTCAGTGTGTATATCTGTATGTCTGTGTATTAGAATGTGTGTCATTGTGTGATAGAATGTGTCAGTGTGTATATCTGTATGTCTGTGTGTTAGAATGTGTGTCAGTGTGTATATCTGTGTGTCTGTGTGTTAGAATGTGTGTCAGTGTGTATATCTGTGTGTTAGAATGTGTGTCAGTGTGTATATCTGTGTGTCTGTGTGTTAGAATGTGTGTCAGTGTGTATATCTGTGTGTTAGAATGTGTGTCAGTGTGTATATCTGTGTGTCTGTGTATTAGAATGTGTGTCAGTGTGTATATCTGTATGTCTGTGTATTAGAATGTGTGTCATTGTGTATATCTGTGTCTGTGTGTTAGAATGCGTGTCAGTGTGTATATCTGTGTGTCTGTGTATTAGAATGCGTGTCAGTGTGTATATCTGTGTCTGTGTATTAGAATGTGTGTCAGTGTGTATATCTGTATGTCTGTGTATTAGAATGTGTGCCATTGTGTGATAGAATGTGTCAGTGTGTATATCTGTGTGTCTGTGTGTTAGAATGTGTGTCAGTGTGTATATCTGTGTGTCAGAATGTGTGTCAGTGTGTATATCTGTGTGTCTGTGTATTAGAATGCGTGTCAGTGTGTATATCTGTGTCTGTGTGTTATAATGCGTGTCAGTGTGTATATCTGTGTGTCTGTGTGTTAGAATGTGTGTCAGTGTGTATATCTGTGTGTCAGTGTATTAGAATGTGTGTCATTGTGTATATCTGTGTCTGTGTGTTAGAATGCGTGTCAGTGTGTATATCTGTGTGTCTGTGTATTAGAATGCGTGTCAGTGTGTATATCTGTGTGTCAGTGTGTGATAGAATGTGTCAGTGTGTATATCTGTGTGTCTGTGTATTAGAATGTGTGTCAGTGTGTATATCTGTATGTCTGTGTATTAGAATGTGTGTCATTGTGTATATATGTGTCTGTGTGTTAGAATGTGTGTCAGTGTGTATATCTGTATGTCTGTGTATTAGAATGTGTGTCAGTGTGTGATAGAATGTGTCAGTGTGTATATCTGTGTGTCTGTGTGTTAGAATGTGTGTCAGTGTGTATATCTGTGTGTCTGTGTATTAGAATTTGTATCAGTGTGTATATCTGTATGTCTGTGTATTAGAATTTGTATCAGTGTGTATATCTGTATGTCTGTGTATTAGAATGTGTGTCATTGTTTCTGTCTGGGTGTCTGCATGTGTGGTAGTGTTTGTAGCTTTACATCTATATCAGTGTTGCGCAAATTGTATCGTCCGGCATTTTTATCTTTTTCCCCTGCTGCGGGCTAAAAGCAGAGTTAAAGGTTTTGTTTCATTTTTTACCTAGGATCCAGGTCTCCCGCACAGCTGCAGGGCACTTGGATCCTCTTTCAAGGCACAGGCGGCTCTCTAAATAGGCGATGTAGACAGCCGGCTAAGGTCTCGCACTGACCCGGGCCTCATGGCTGCCTAATTCACCTTAGAGAAGAGTGATTTGTCGGGTCCTCAGTCCATGGACTTGATATCAGGAGGGGGCCCAGCAGCTTGCCCTGTGCTGCCGCTTGCGAGGCCCCTCCAGTTTGCCCTGTGAGGGAGAGAGCCAGCGCCTCCAGTCTGCAGCTCTGCCGGGTGTGAGCTGCAGACTGTGCAGTATCTCGCGATCTCTGGCCAATCAGAATGTTGCTGCAGGTTACCATGGCAACGCTCTGACTTCTGGAAATTTTAAGACAATGCACACTGTGCAGCTCACACCCAGCGCAGCTCCAGACTGAGGAGACAGTCCATCGGACCACTAGGGAGTGCGACAGCCGACAAGACCACCAGGGAAAAACCAAGATATTTCTAACACTCCTCACACACACTGTCACCAGTCAGCCCCTACATCATTGTACCACCCCTCACCCAGTCAGCCCCTCCCTCACTCTGCCACCCCCTCAGATACAAATGGTATGTTTCCACTGTCAGACAGCATCTAGGTACCAAAATCACAACATTAAGATGTGCTATTAGTGCTTATAGGGTCCCTATAAATTGTGATATTTACCTTCTTTATTGCTTTAACAGGCTAGTGGCCTTACAGATTAATCCATGGACCCACAGGGCGTATGTTAACCAGAGGCCCTCTGTTTGAGGATATCTACTGTGGCGAAACCGACCTTGCCACTGGGCATTGGAGAAAATGGATTGCCAGCCTCCTGCCATGTGACTATGGCCCCTGGGATGTATTACCCTTTAAAGACATGATTTGGGCAGAATGGATTTGTGTTGTGCTGCTGCTGGCCCTTTAAGAACCATCTGGGGACATACTGTGGAGTTACTGGGTGGCCACCAATTCATGTACCAGAGGCACATGGTGAGAACAATGGATGAAGCACATGGTGAGAACATTGGATGGCGGGCATTTTAACTCACAGACACTGTTTGGACTTTTCTACACGGTGCCATCTCGCCGGTATTTGGTGCACAGAGACATCGTGCAGTGGTTTTGGACTATGCAATAGGGGACACATTGTACAGTAATTGTTTTTCATATAGCCTGTATATGTTCTGCGGAATCTGCATTAAACTGTATCTTCCAAAGTACTGAACGGATGTGGGTGAATTTTGGATATGTGGTTTACTCAGTTCCCCCAGTTCCAAGGATATACTTTTTATGGGGTTATTGCATGTTTCGGGCTCCCTGTGATATGTTTTATAATACTGTATTTCTCTGCCTGTGATAATTATATTAACCATTGTGTTCAGTAATCATATCACAGGCAGAGGGGAGGATTTTGTGTGGAAGTGTCTGTGTGTATTGTACGGATTGATTGGTTGTATTTCAAAACCCTGTGGGCAGTACTATGTTTGTGGATTGGGAATAAAAGAGGCTGCAAGTGCCAGTACGGTCAGTTCTGCTTGACCTCAAAACGAAGTGTCGTCTCGTTATTGGGGGAATTGGAGTGTATGCTGATTGCCAGGAGTGTAAGCTGATTGTATGCTTTTCCTGTTCAGCTGCTTACAGCATTCATATGCTTGAGAGCATTCGTATGCTTCTCCGGTTCGGTGGTTGTGGTGTCTGCTGCAGTGCTTGGAGTCCTCAGGAAGCGCTAGGAGCATCCTTCAACGGAGGTACCCAGTCGGGGTGCCAGGTGATCCGTTATATCTACCAATTGGCATTCCTGGTACATGGGAACCATTTTATTCACCCCCGAAGGTAATGTGATATCTAGAGGAGTAGCCACTCAATTAGTATTAGCTGGTAACCACACATGGAAAGAACATTTCACATTGCGGTTTGTGTAGTAATGTTTTATTGCATAGTTCAGGGATACATAGAGCATGCAAGCAGAAGGAATAGATGAGCTCACCATTACAATATGGCAAACCAGCATATAAACACTCTCTTAGGAGATCGCAGCAGGTAGTGAGAGCATAGATCAGCCATGGAGCAGGGAAGTAAGCACAAATCAGTGAGTGAGATATCGTATTGAAAAATCCACGAACCCCCAGACAATTGTAGTTTTAGGGTTTCCACTGGTACACGCATGGATAGAAGTGTTGTAAGATAGCAATTGGAAATAATTCAATGAGCACAATAATCTAGACAGCATATCAGGGAGTTCTGATTTCAAGGCTCTCATTTGTGGACGATGATTTAAGAGGACAGGTTAATCCAATGTTTCATGACTTTCGCCAGCGACCGCTAAACAGATGTAATTAAATAGGACACGTCTTTATGAATATAAGAAAAAATAAGTCCCTTGTTGAGAACCGTGTCTTATCTGGGTATATTTTGTACATTTTATTGGGTAATATTAAAGTACAAAGATTCCTCAGATTTCTAACTGTAAGTTAAATTGCTTTCATTCAATTCACCAGCACATGAAGAATGGCAAAGGACATTGTATTTGTTCCGCTATCTTTTAAAGGTACACCCTGGACACCATAACATCCTGCCAGGATAGCTCAAACATTGTCCTATGCGAAGTGGTCAAAACATGTTAGTATGGTTTGAGAACTTACTTGGGTCCCCTGGACACTGCAGTTGCACAAGATATTCTTTGATACAGGTAAACTGATTCATGTGAACCATTCTAACAGCTATATTATATGTGATACAAGTATTTATCACACATCGACAATACCAGAATTATAGCTATATTATACGATCCCACTGGAATATGATAAATTTTCACACATCGACAATACCAGAATTATAGCTATATTATACGATCCCACTGGAATATGATACATTTATCACACATCGACAATACCAGAATTATAGCTATATTATACGATCCCACTGGAATATGATAAATTTTCACACATCGACAATACCAGAATTATAGCTATATTATACGATCCCACTGGAATATGATACATTTATCACACATCGACAATACCAGAATTATAGCTATATTATACGATCCCACTGGAATATGATACATTTATCACACTTCAATAATAGCATTGTTATTCTATCACAATCCAGATCTCTACATCTTAAACATGCATGTGTTAATTAACTACATAATCAATTCCAACTGAATTGCACAACTTTCAAAATTACCCAGCTTGGTTACTAATTGTTGCTTTTTTGTCCAAACACTTTCAAAATCAGGGTACAAAAGTGACAACAACAAAAAAACAAGCTAACCATGCAAACACAGAATTTATTATAAAATGTAAACGTGAATACTTTACTGTATATTGTAAAAAATAGAATCTCTAGTATCCAAAGCCCACCCCTTCACTGCTGGAGATGTGATAATGAAGTGTGACTTCTTCATTTTATAGTTAAAGTATCTGCCAGTGCTAATTCTCCTTAAATATGCTCTCGCAGCCTACCAGCAACAAGATTATAGAGCTCTTATCATGTCCTTTTAAAGGGTTATTGCAACCGCTATTACCACTTCTGCTTTTAGAAGGACTCTGTATGTGCACAGCTTTAGCTTGAAACAATCCATACCCAGAGATACCTGCACTTGTGTGCTAGGAGCTAGTTTAACCCCTGGCACATGTGAACACTGTTCTGGACTGACAAATGTCAATTTGGTTCAAAAATATGCCCATATGTTTTTTTTGTTTGTTTAGCCCCTTAGTTACCAGACCACTTTTCAATTTTCTTACCGTATGGGATCAGGGGCTGTTTTTACATTTCTGCGGTGTTTGTGTTTAGCTGTAATTCTCCTCTTACTCATTTACTGTACCCACACGTTATATACCGTTTTTTTCGCCATTAAATGGTCTTTCTAAAGATACCATTATTTTCATCATATCATTTACTATAAAATATGATGAAAATCTTTTAAAAAACACCCTTTTTTGGACTTTGATCCAAAAAAACTGTTGCGCTTCTACAACCGCCAAAAAACACCAGTGCTAAATAGTTTCTAAATTTTGTCCTGAGTTTAGAAATACCCAATGTTAACACGTTCTTAGCTTTTTGTTTTTTGCAAGTTATAGGGAAATAAGTACAAGTAGCACTTTGCAATTTCCAAATAAATTTTTTTTTCAGATATCTCTCAGGAATCCCTGAATAACCCTTCACATGCATATTATTTTTTTTAAAGAAGACAACCTAAGGTATTAAACTTACGGTATTTTTACTGTTTTCATGCAACCATTTTACCACCAATCTATGCCAAATAAAAAAAATGATAATTGGTGATTTTTCTGAACCCACATAATATATGTACTAAGACCTTTAAGGGTTACTGCAAAAGAAAATCCCAGTATGTGTTCAGCAACATCTCCAGAGTACAGTGATACCCCCCATGTACAGGTGTGTCATGTTCTCTGGGGGCTAAAAGACCTTATATAGAGGGTGTGTATTCCAGTTTTCCAACTTGGAAATTTCACAGCTGGTCTTCATGCACCCATGTCCGATTTGGGAAATTTTTGAAGCCAGTCAATGTAATTTACCCTCATCAAACCATATATTTTTGAAAAGTAGACACCCTAGGGCATTTCAAATGGTGGTTTAACACTTTCCATTCACTAATTCTACAACCAGTCTTTGTCAAACATTTGGGTGGTAATTTTGTTATTTTTCTCTCACATTGTATTTTAGGCATGGATTCTCAGTTCCTGGTATGTGTTACTGACAAAAAACCCCCAATATGTGTTCAGCAACATCTTCTGAGTACAACAGTGCCCCCAATGTACAGGTTTTATGGTTTTTTGCAAACTTACATGGGTCACATGTAGGGCTTTCCCCTTTCCCATGTTTGCACATTGAAATTTGCCAGATTGGTTTGATGGGCCTATGTTGCCTTTGAGATCGTATAGCAGCCCAGGAATGAAAATTAACCCCATCATGGTATACCATTTGTAAAAGTACACAACCCACGGTATTCAAAATGGTCTTAGGTCTTTTTAGTAGCTACTTAGTCACAAACCCTGGCCAAAATTAGCATTTATATTAGTTTTTTTTGCATTTTTCACACATAAACTGCCATTTCACCAATGATATCAGAATAATACATTTTACTGCTCTAAAACACTCATATTTGTATAATGTCTCACGAGTACAACAGTACCCCTCAAGTATAGGTTTTATGGTGATTTGGAAAGTTACAGGGTCAAGCATAAGATTTGTCAATTTTTGTAAATTGCTATTTGCCAGATGGGCTATGTTGCCTTTGAGACAGTATGGCAGCCAGCACATAAATGAAAATGAACCCCACCATGACATACCATTTTACAAAGTAGACCACTCAGGGTATTCAGAATGGGGTATCTCCAGTCTTTTCTAGTAGCCACTTAGCCACAAATGCTTGCCAAAGTTAGCTTTCATATTTGTTTTTTGCATTTTTTCTTACACAAAAATTGCACTTTTACTGGTGATTTCATCGTCGTGATGGGTACAGTTTTAAACACTCATATTTGTGTTGAGTGAAGTCTCCTGACTATAACAATATCCCCCATGTGTTTTGGAAAGTTACAGGATATATATAGGGCTTGCCCAATTCAGTTTGCCGGGTCTGTGTTACCATATGGTAACCCAGGAATGTGAAATAACCCCATCTTGAAAAAAGTCTACTCGGACTGAAACAATGATTGTAATGTGCTGAATAAAAGCAATACTTTACTTCAATTAAAACCCCAGAGTGCATTCATCTTTTTTGCATATAGTGTGGCTGGCGATCGCACCAGGGCAAACACAAGACTTGGATCCGTGTATATGTTATATATATATACACACATACATACATACACACAAACACACAATACACAAGATCCAGCGCCCTCCCCTCTCTATTAAACAACAACTTCAATGTTGGCAAATATAATGGGGGTTTAGTTACATTATGTGATCATACATTGCATGGAATTATTTCCCCAAAGTAAGTGGGTTAATGTCATAAGAGCAGACATTAGGCTGTTAGTGTAGGACCTGCCAAAGATGGGGTACATTGACGTTGTGGCAGGCTTATGCAATGTATGATCATATAATGTAACTAAACCACCATTATTTTTGCCTAGATTAGGTGTTTTAAAAAAAAAAAACTAATAAAACCTGTCAACATTGTTGCTGTTCAGTGGAAAGGTGAGTGCGCTGGATCTTGTGTATTGTATAATTTGGCCCCCAGCAGCACCCCATTTAGGCGTGTTCAGGTGAGTGCAGCCTCCCCCCCCCACACTTTTATTTCCTATATATGTATAATGTGAAGAAATCCCTATTTATTGACTAGTTATTCACCTCATTTTACCTTTATGCATTCGGTAGATTGAACTACCGAACAAAGACCCCCCTGGCTCATTAAGCTTCAAAGGAATCGTCAATCAACCCCTCTATCTGTGCGGCCAGCGTTCATACTACCGAACGCCACGTGGCTGAAAAACCGTGGCCATCTTTTTTCAGCCGAAACAAAGGCAGCGGGACTTGGTTGTTGAGTGTCTGGAACTAAAATCGGACACTCGACTTCACGAACACCGGTCTCAAACAGACGAATGCTGGAACTCTAATTACGAATAGCTAGAAGAGCGCTATTCGGTACTTTGGTGCATTCGACAGAGGGGAACAATCGCTGCTGAGAGCCAGGGGGATCCATTCGGTACTTTATTCGCTAACTCCCGGACCCCAGGGTGAATTTTGGATATGTTAGTCACCCAGATCAGGGCTATCAGGGGGTACCCAAAGTATTATTCTAACTGCTTGTTTTGGGGTACATCCAGAACTCAGGGAAAACTACAGCATGGTTAATGGGATTATGTGTCACACTGAGGGGAGGAGATGTGTGGGAGGTAACTGTGACATTATTGGTTACTGTCCTAATTATGGTGAATCCCTCCCTTGCATGGGAGAATGCTTTATAAGGAGGTTGTGTGGATTAAAAGTCAGGTCTGCACCTGATGCTGTGTGTCGACCAGTCATTGGGATCTGTATGGGGATATTCGTGGATTACCTTGCTTGCTGGGATTATTACTCTATGGTATTTTTACTACTTGTTCCTGAGCCTCAATGGGATATTTAGTGGAGTTAACCTGTGAAATACCAGGTCTCCGCTACAGTTATGTTTTTACTGTGCCCGATTGGTTAATCTCTGTCCCTCCCTGGGGGATGTCCCCTTGCATGGGGACTTGCATAAAAGCCTGTGTGCAATCATTAAAGCTCAGTTCAGTTGTACCCTTCTTCTTGACTTCGGCTGATGTTTGGGGATTTGTGTGCTTCACTAAGGGAATTATTTTATGAAGCTATTGGGATTACTATACAGTTCGTCTACTTTATCTACCGAATGGAGAGCTATAATCACTGATGCTCTGGCGGTTCGGGAGGAAACTACCGAATGAGGTTTAAATATACTTGGTTTCCTTACATATAATATATTAAAGCATTTTATAATATATTATTCATATATAATGAATATATATGATTTCATTATAAGTGTACTTTGAGATTTAGGTGTATATGGTGATCGAATGGCCCTGGAGGGCCAAAGCTGCTGCAGGGGGAATGCTGGGTTCTCCGGCAGTCCCCCCTGACCGTGATCACCGGTCCAGGTAAGTCCAAGGTCGTTAACCCCTTAAGGACACAACTTCAGAAATGAAAGGGAATCAACTGAATATTTCTGTCATGTGTCCTTAAGGAGTTAAGATGATATGTATTTATAACGTCATTCTAAATGTATTTTGAGTTAAATATATATGTATATTAATACCAAAATACAGTTAGAACGAATTTAAACAGATATATACATTTTTTAAAATGCAATTTTAAATATTTATATAATTAACGTTATTCTAAGTGTATTTCAATATTTATATATAATTATATAGATTAATATTAAAATACACTTTTAATAAAGATTTATGTATGTGTGTATAAAAGTACTTGGATCATATATATACAAAGTACTTTTATTTACCTTTTTAAATTTTGTAATAACTTTTATTAACTTGTAAAGCTTTCACAGTGCTGGATTTTGGCCAATGCAAGATTTCAGGTAACTTATAGCTTTGGTTATTTTTAATTTAATTTGACGTTTATGTGGGAGTCTAGGAATAGTGCACCATAGACCATTAACAACTTTTTTTTTTTCCTAGATATATATCTCGAATAGAAACATAGTGATACAGGCTTTTGGTTTTCACTATGGACATATTAGGGAATACTAAATAAATGTACACCTCTTCTGTCTACACCTACCAAGTCAGATGGGACTCATACTATTTTTTTAATGTGAGAAAACTGTGCAAGGTTTTAATTATTTTGTATAAAAATATTTACCATATTTCAAGAAATTCTAGTCTATTAAATTATGAGACCTTTTTCTTTATGAAGCCGTACTTTTCAATAAAAAACTCCTGTATTCTAGAACACATCTAATCACTTTTCATGCAATTTCTCAAAAATTGCAAACTCTGATAAAAACAAAACAAATTAATCTGCATGTTTTCATGGGTTATAACACTTTTGATATTACTCAAAGAAAAAGTTATTCCTAAAAATATTTCCCACTACTTTTCGTGCCAAGTGCCTAACATTAAACAGGATCGTATGAATTATGAGAATATTTTTAAAGTGTGACCAGGTCCTTACAATATGCAATTTATTTAAAACAAAATCTACATCTCAATGGAATGATGAAGAGAATGCCCTCAATCCTAATCTCTAGGACTCTATAGATTTCATAGCAAATTGGTCAATTTCAAACACTTTGAAACCGAGAATATGGTTTTTTCCCAGCATGAACGAGAAGATGTTTTACAAGACTTTGTTTGCAGTTAAAACGTTTTTCGCATTCAGAGCAAGAAAATGGTTTTTCTCCTGTATGTGTTCTCTGATGTGAGACAAACACTGACTTTTGGATAAACCTTCTCCCACATTCGAAACAGGAATATGGTCTCTCTCCTGTGTGAAGCTTTTCATGTCTCACAAGATTGACTTTATGGCTATAACATTTGCCACACTCAGAACATGAGTACGGTTTCTGGCCTGTGTGAATTATCTGATGACCAATGAGAGTGGCTTTATCGCCAAAACATTTTCCACACACTGAACAAGAATACGGTTTATCACCTGTGTGAATTTTTTCATGTCTGGCAAGTTTCCTTTTATGACTATAACATTTGCCACATTGCGAACAGGAATATGGTTTATCAACTTCGTGAAGTACTTCATGGCTGACAAGAGCATCCTTGTCTGCAAAACATTTCCCACATTTAATACATGAAAACTGTTCATCCCCAGTGTGAACTTGCTGATGTTTAATAAACAAAGAATGATTGATAAAACGTTCACCACATTCAGTACAGGAATATGGCTTCTCTTGGGCATTTGTACTTGGATACGCCTTCTCTCTTGTATGAATTCTTTCATGTTTAACAAGACTTGACCTATGGCGAAAACATCTCCCACATTCAGAACAAGCATATGGTTTCTCTCCTGTATGAATCCTCTGATGTGTAAGAAGATTTTCTTTATAAATAAAACATCTTCCACATTCCGAACAAGAAAATGGTTCCTCCCCTGTGTGAATTCTTTTATGTAATTCCAGACTTTGTCTGTGTGTAAAACATTTTCCACATTCAAAACATGATAACGGCCCCTCTCCTGTGTGAATTATTTTATGTGAATGCAAACCCGTCCTATGTGTAAAACATTTTCCACATTCTGAACAAGAATACGGTTTCTCTCCTGTGTGAATTTTATGATGACTTTGAAGATTCGATTTCTGGCTAAAATGTTTCCCACACTCTGAGCATGAATATAATTTCTCTCCTGTGTGAACATTTTGATGTTTTAAAAGAACTGATTTACGGAAAAAACATTTTCCACACTCCGAACATGAATATAGTTTCTCACCCACGTGACTACTTTTATGTTTAAGAAAAGCACACTGTTGATTAAAACGGTTTTCACATTTAGAACAAAAATATGGTTTATCTTCAGTGAGAATCTGATGTTTATCAAGATAGGATTTTTTTGTAAATCCTTTCCCACATTGTAAGCAAGAAAATGCCTTCTGTCCTGTGTGTGTTTTTATGTGTTTCTGAAGGTAAGGTTTTAAATTAAAACATTTACCACACTGAGGACAAGAATATAAAGCTGGTTCTTCTTTAATATGAGTATGTGGATATTGTGTCTGTTGATGTTCTGTGGGTGCAGAAATGTTTATGATTTTTCCTTTATATGATGCGGTGTCCTCCTTAATATCATTAGATGGATATTCCGTCTGTGGTAGTTCATTGGGGGTACAAATGTCTGTGAGATTTCCTTCTTCACATGAGTATGGTTCCTCTTTGATATAAGTAAATGGATACTGTGTTTTTGTAGAAATATTCATGAGATTCCCTTCTTCACATGAAACCGGTTCCTTCTTAATATAAGAAGATGGATAGTCTATCTGTGGATGTTCTGATGGTTTAGGAATGTCTGTGAGATTGCATTCTTCACATGAGGTTGGTTCCTTCTTAACATGAGTAGATGGATATTCTGTCGGTGGATGATCTGTAGGTACAGAATTGTCTGTAAGATTTCCTTCTTCACACAAGGCTGGTTCCTCTTTAATATGAGTAGATGGGTATTCTATCAGTGGATGTTCTGTGGTTCTAGATATGTCGGTGAGATTTTCTTCTTTACACGAGGTTTGTTCCTCCTTAACATGAGCAGATAGATATTCTATCTGCAGGTGTTTTTTGGGTGTCGAAATGTTGATTAGATTTTCTTTTTGACACGAGGTTGGTTCCTCCTTAATATATGTAGATAGATATTGTGTCTGTGGATGTTCTGTGGATGAATACATGTTAGTTTCTATATTGTTACATGATGAATCACTTGTAGTCTCTCTCATACTGTGACTTATACTTGGAGTAAAAACAAAGGAGCTTAATCCAGTGGATGTTTGTTTCTGATTAAATCTGTAGGAAAGAGGCAAATGGACAAAGTTTAAACTTAAACAGCATTTGGGGGACAAAACTGCTAGGTATCGAGTAAAAAACTAAAAACTAAATTGCATAATGCAACCAAACTGCCATGCCCAGTGAGCTACTGGAGACCAATGCTAGGGTATAGGAAAAGACAAAAACAATCAGCACTATTTACCACTTACAGGTGTTCATGATGGATTGTAGTAGTTATGACAGTAGGAATAATCCAGCGTCGTGCCCCAGTAATAAGGCAAACCAGTTTGCCTGGGTCCCCATCAGGCACCAGGTGTCCTTGGTAGGCAGGTTGATGGCACCCGGCTTCTACTTATTTATTGTGTCATAGCATGAGCTGATCACTCTCCGCATGGAAATACATGCAGATTTGACATTAGCTAGCCCTGTACGCTTACTGTGGGTTAGCTAGTGCTGCCTCAATGGTGTTGCTAGAGGTAGTTACACCTACAGCAGCAAAGAGGTTGAACTCAGCATGTGCAGCTTTTCATAGGGCATACATACTCCAGACACCATGACTATTTCGAAATACTGAAGTGGTCATTATGCTTGGGGTAATTCTTTAATTCCAATGTTATTCTGCAAATCTATGAACACAAAACATACACCTTTAATTTAAGCTGTTCTCTAAATATGAGTGCTAAACCTATTAAACTGGAGATAGTTCATCTCGCAAACATGTCAGTAATATCTATGTAGTTCTAACAGTATATAAAAAAAATAAGCTCTGATAGAACTATTAACCCCTTAAGGACTGAGCCAAATGTACACGTTGCGATCAAAACAAAACGTAAACAAAAACTTGAATTTGCGCTATATGTCTGTTCAGGCGTAATTCGCGTCTTCCATATGAAGTGCACCCACACTTATTATAAATCATTTTATTCAGGGGAAACAGGGCTTTCATTTAACATCAAATATTTAGCTATAAAACATAATTTTATATATATAAAACAATGGAAGAAAACAAATGTTATTTTAGTTCTACATGACATTCTAACTGTAAATGTCATAATACTGTTTGCTTTTACTGCAATAAAATACACATATTTGTATTCAGCAAAGTCTCTCACGTGTAAAACAGTACCCCCTATGTACAGGTTTTATGGCGTTTTGGGAAGTTACAGGGTCAAATCTGGCATATTACATTTTGAAGTTTATTCACATTGAAATTCACTAGATTGGTTACGTTGCCTTTGAGACTGTATGGTAGCCCAGGAATGAAAATTACCCCCATGATGGCATACCATTTGCAATAGTAGACAACCCAAGGTATTGGAAATGGGGTATATCCAGTCTTTTTTAGTAGCCACTTGGTCACAAACACTGGCCAAAGTTAGTGTTAATATTTGTGTGTGAAAAATGGAAAAAAGAAATTGAACGGCAATTTTGGCTAACTATCTGTCAGGTATAACTTAAAATACATTCGCCGTAAGAACCCACTTCCGGGTTCACGGCGCTTAGCTCCTCCCCTTTCTCTGACGCGGTCCCTCCACGATACTTAGGGAGACCGCGCCAGATTCAAGACGCTGGATTATTACACAGGTACCTGAAAAGTGATCAGCTGTTTTACTCCATCCTGCCTGTATCAAACCACGGATTGCTAAACGGACTTCCACTCTCTTCACTCCAAGGCCACGGATTGCTAAACAGACTTCCACTCTCTCCACTCCTAGACCACGGATTGCTAAACGGACTTCCACTCTCTCCACTCCTAGACCACGGATTGCTAAACAGACTTCCACTCTCTCCACTCCTAGACCACGGATTGCTAAACGGACTGCTCCTCTCTCCACTCCTAGACCACGGCTTGCTTAAAGGACTATCTTCTCATTCCATCGGGTGAAAATAACCCTTAAGTTCCAGAACTTGCCTTATTAAGTTAAGTATTTCTGTTCCAATTAATCCACTGTGCCATTCTCTCTAATTAAGTTTTTTATTCTAATTGATCTACTTATAACAAATATTCACCCTCCAATAATCAACTCAATTATTATTACAACTTCTCCTGCTTCATTTATTACTATTGATTCCACAGAAGGGAATTTAAGTGACATATGAAAATTAACAGATTCTTTTAGTTACACACAAATTCTAAGCTACATGTGTAATTAAGGTAATAGTAATTACTCCTTTTTCAATATAAAAAGAGGTGAATCTAGCAAATACTTCAATTAGGAAACTCTGCAGTTGTGTTCCAATTAACAAATAAGTATCACAGAATAATCCAGCCTTTTACAATGGAACCAGCAGATATTAACGCTCAAGTTTCTGCCCTAACCAATAGAGTGGATACGATTGCTCAGGGTTTACAGGAACTGCAAATTACAAATGAGAGAATATTAACTTATGTTAGAGACATGCAAGGTCACCTTCCTCATGCCGCTCTTCAATCGGCTGGCGATCCTGCTGTCTGTAATCCTGAAAAATTTTATGGAGATAGAACAAAGTACAGAGAGTTTTTGAATTCTTGCAAACTCCTAATAGCCTTAAAACCTAGATCTTATCTCACCGAAAGATCCAAAGTTTGTTCAGTGATCTCTTTTTTAAGAGGTGAACCTATGGCATGGGCCCATTCCTTTTTAGAGAATGATGATCCCATATTAGATTCATTGGATGAGTTCTTTGAAGCTATGTCTTTACTTTATGAAGACCCTTATAAACAGGCTACTGCTGATTTAACCATCAGAACTCTCCACCAAAAGAATAGACCTGTTGAAGACTATATTGCAGAATTCAAAAGATGGGCTACAGAAACCCAATGGAATGACATTTCTTTACGCAATCAATTCCGTCTCGGATTATCAGAAGCTGTGAAGGATGAACTCTCTCGTACTGAACTTCCTCCCACCTTAAATGCATTGATTCAACTTTCCATTAGTATTGATAGACGTCTAAGAGAAAGAAGAGCTGAAAAAGTTCTTACTAATTTTACCTGGAGAAAACCTATCACTTCTCCTAAAATCACTGAAAAATTCTCTACTCAAACCGAACCTATGGAAGTAGGTATAATAAGAAGTCCTCTTACCTCTGAAGAAAGAATAAGAAGGAGACAATTAAACTTATGTATGTATTGTGCCTCGAAAGAACATATAATTCCCGATTGTCCTCTACTGAAACATTCAAAAAGTGGTAAGCATCATTCATCTACTTCAATATTGAACGTACTACAAAAAAGAAAAACATCTACTTATTTTTCTATATCTCTCATATTACAGTGGGATACAAAAAGAATCGTGACTGAGGCTATAATCGATTCTGGTGCCAATGGAACCTTTCTTGATTTTTCTTTTGTTATAAAAAATAAAATTCCTTGTGTTCGAAAAACTCACTTTGTTCCAATCAGAGTTATTGATGGTTCATTTATATCCTCTGGACCCATAAAAGATGAGACAATTCCTATAAAAGTAACTACCAACAACGTTCATACCGAATTCCTTACATTTGATGTTATTAAATCTCCACTTTATCCGGTCATTTTAGGAATTAATTGGTTAAAAACCCATAATCCTCTAATTGAATGGTCTCCTTTTACCATCTCTTTCTCCTCTGATTTCTGTAAAAAAACGTGTTTTCAACATATTCCTATTCTCCAAATTACTAAAGAACCAGTTATACCTACATTCTACTCCGATTTTTCAGATGTCTTCTGTAAAAAAGAAGCAGAAACACTTCCACCTCATCGGGTATATGATTGCCCAATTGATCTAATACCTGGAGCTCCCATTCCTTATGGTCACATCTACCCACTTTCTGAAAAGGAATTAGAAATCTTAAAGGAATATCTTAATGAAAATTTACGTAAAGGGTTCATCAGACCCTCGACATCCCCGGCTGCTTCTAGTATATTCTTCGTGAGAAATAAAGATCAAACCATCCGTCCCATTATAGATTACAGAGCCTTAAATAAAATAACAATAAAAAACCGTTATCCTCTTCCGCTAATAAATGAATTAATTGAAAGATTAAGAACTGCAACTATATTCACTAAACTCGACCTTCGGGGCGCTTATAACCTCATTAGAATAAAACAGGATGATGAATGGAAGACCGCTTTCCGAACAAGATATGGTCTATACGAATATCTTGTAATGCCTTTTGGGCTTTGTAATGCCCCTGCTACATTCCAACATTTCATAAATGATATCTTTAGAGATCTCCTGGATATATGTGTTATTATCTATTTAGATGATATCTTAATATATTCTAACAATCTGGATGAACATAGGAAGCATGTAAGATGGGTTCTATCTAGATTGAGAACTCACAAATTATACGCTAAACCTGAGAAATGCCTTTTTGAGGTTACCGAATTATCTTTCCTAGGATATATTATTTCACCTCATTCCTTAAAAATGGATAACTCAAAAATTGAATGTATTATTAACTGGCCCGTTCCTGCTACTACTAAAGAATTACAGCGATTTCTTGGATTTGCAAATTTCTATAGGAAATTTATTAGAAACTACTCAGATGTATCACGTCCACTTAATCTTCTTAACAGTAATAAACGTCCTTTTAATTGGAATAAAGAAGCCCAAAAAGCCTTTACTGAATTAAAAAAAAGATTTACAACCGCACCTATTCTACAACTACCTAATCCAACATTCTTATATGTTCTTGAAGTAGATGCATCAGATTCAGCTATCGGAGCAGTTCTTTCTCAACAAAAGACACCTCAAGATCCACTTCATCCAGTTGCCTTCTTTTCAAGATCCTTGAGTTCTGCTGAGAAAAATTATCCTATTGGTGAAAAAGAATTGTTAAGCGTTAAAGCTGCCCTTGAAAATTGGCGTCATCTTCTTGAAGATACAAAACAACCTATAGTTGTTTATACTGATCATAAAAATCTCGAATATCTGTATACTAACAAAACCCTTACAGCTAGACAAGTTAGATGGAACCTCTTTTTTAACCGCTTTAACTTCCAATTAGTATACAGACCTGGAACTAGAAATCAAAAAGCTGACGCCCTCTCTCGAATTTCTTATAAAACTTCTATTGATGATTATCCTTCTAACAAGATAATTGGAATCCTTTCCTCTCTTCAAGATGACTTAAAGAATTTGAATCAAAAAGATCTTGAACTTCCCAAAACACCTATATTAACAAAAAAGGATGGTATATTTTACTTTAAAAATAAAATTTATATCCCTCCTATTTTTAGAAATAAATTACTTAAAATGGTTCATGACTCACCACTAGCCGGACATCCTGGGATTAAAAAAACTCTTGAACTAACTTCACGATATTATTGGTGGCCTCGTCAAAATAAAACCATTGAATTATATGTCAAAACTTGCCCTATCTGTCAAAGGTCCAAAACTGAACATAATCAACCTTTTGGGTTACTACTTAACTTACCTATTCCAGAAAAACCTTGGCAATCCATTTCTATGGATTTTCTTGTAGATCTTCCACCATCTCAGCATTCCACCACTATTCTTGTCGTTGTGGACCGCTTCACAAAAATGGCCCATTTTATTCCTTTAAAGAAATTACCCTCCTCCGTAGAATTATCCAAAGTCTTTATAGATAATATTGTAAAACTTCATGGTCTTCCTGAAGAAATTATTTCTGATAGAGGGACACAGTTTACCTCCAAATTCTGGAAAGAGATGTGTCTCTCCCTTCAAATTCAACGCAAACTCTCATCTGCCTACCATCCTCAAACTAATGGACAAACAGAGAGAGTTAATCAATGTCTGGAACAGTATCTTCGATGTTATTGTTCATACCTACAGGATGACTGGACCACATGGTTACCTATGGCCGAATTCTCTTACAACAATACTATTCATTCTAGTACAAAAATGACTCCTTTCTTCTCGAACTATGGATTCCATCCATCTTCATTTTCCATCCAAAATGATATTTCATCCAATCCTACTGTTACATCAAAAAACGAATTTATGTCCTCACTATTCCTCAAATTACGGGAAAATCTTCAACTTGCCCAAAATAACCAGAAAAGATATTTTGACAATAAAAGAAGAATTCCCCCTCATTATAATGTAGGGGATCTGGTCTGGCTTTCCTCTAGGAATATTACCACAAACCGTCCTTCAAAGAAATTAAGCTCTCTTTTTCTTGGTCCTTTTAAAGTAAATACGATTATTAATGATAACGTTGTTAAACTGGACCTCCCTCCAAGTTTTAAACTTCATCCTGTATTCCATGTCTCTTTGCTTAAACCTCACCTCCCTGATCCTTTCAATAGGGATTTAGTAACAACTCCTGATCCTATCATTGTCCAAGGTGAAGAAGAATATGAAATACATAGAATTTTGGATTCACGTATCCACCGTGGCTCCTTACAATACCTTATTAGATGGAAGGGTTATGGTATTGATGAAGACACTTGGGAAGATTCATCTAATGTACATGCTAAGAGGTTAGTTGCTGCATTTCACAAACGTTATCCCTCCAAACCGAGATAAGTGCACCGAGAGGATGCCCCATGAGAAGGGGGTACTGTCAGGTATAACTTAAAATACATTCGCCGTAAGAACCCACTTCCGGGTTCACGGCGCTTAGCTCCTCCCCTTTCTCTGACGCGGTCCCTCCACGATACTTAGGGAGACCGCGCCAGATTCAAAACGCTGGATTATTACACAGGTACCTGAAAAGTGATCAGCTGTTTTACTCCATCCTGCCTGTATCAAACCACGGATTGCTAAACGGACTTCCACTCTCTTCACTCCAAGGCCACGGATTGCTAAACGGACTTCCACTCTCTCCACTCCTAGACCACGGATTGCTAAACGGACTTCCACTCTCTCCACTCCTAGACCACGGATTGCTAAACGGACTTCCACTCTCTCCACTCCTAGACCACGGATTGCTAAACGGACTTCCACTCTCTCCACTCCTAGACCACGGATTGCTAAACGGACTGCTCCTCTCTCCACTCCTAGACCACGGATTGCTAAACGGACTGCTCCTCTCTCCACTCCTAGACCACGGCTTGCTTAAAGGACTATCTTCTCATTCCATCGGGTGAAAATAACCCTTAAGTTCCAGAACTTGCCTTATTAAGTTAAGTATTTCTGTTCCAATTAATCCACTGTGTCATTCTCTCTAATTAAGTTTTTTATTCTAATTGATCTACTTATAACAAATATTCACCCTCCAATAATCAACTCAATTATTATTACAACTTCTCCTGCTTCATTTATTACTATTGATTCCACAGAAGGGAATTTAAGTGACATCTGAAAATTAACAGATTCTTTTAGTTACACACAAATTCTAAGCTACATGTGTAATTAAGGTAATAGTAATTACTCCTTTTTCAATATAAAAAGAGGTGAATCTAGCAAATACTTCAATTAGGAAACTCTGCAGTTGTGTTCCAATTAACAAATAAGTATCACACTATCTCCCTGGGTGAGGAAAGTTGTGTAGGAAGAGACACAAAATCTATTAGATACCCGTTGACAGCCAGGGGTACCCAAGTATCTGATGTAATAAGAGCCCTGACATGGGAAAAATGTCTGCCCCCTATTACCAAAGGGGAAGAAAATTGAGTGAAATAGCTTACCTCGTGCACCTCTTGACACCCAGGGCCTGCTTCGTTGAAGGAAGAAGGTCAGAGCGAACCTCTGCTCAGGAAAGGGGGTTCTCCCCGTGTAGGAGCCTCGGTTCGGGCGTAAACCTTTATTAACTCTGCTTAAGCTCTGCCGGCCCCAGTAAAAACCATAGGATGAAATACCCTCTTCATATTTGACTGTGCCTTGTGTAAGGCTGTAAATGTTTGGACATAGACTCGCAAAACAGGAATCCTTTCGCTTGAGCGCCTGGCTCTGTAATCGCCAGATTAATGAGATTTGGCTCTATCTTTAAGAGGATTGACTTACGGCGCTCTGTGGCAAGTGCAGTGGTAGTATTGCTGATCAAGCATTTCACCCTCTGGATCCAGCCTGTAATTGTGAGACGATCTAATACATCGTCTTGAGCCAAGGATTCTTACACAGCCTCAAAGCTCTTGGTCGCTGGACCCAAAATATCTAAGACCTTATCCTGTCAATTGTAAAGGGAAAAATCAAAACCCTTTTTTGGGTTCCACCCACTTTTGTCCAAGAATTGTATGTATTATTTTGGGGTCAACTTGGGGAGTCTTGCAGACATCGTCTAGTACAGTGGGGCATGGGCATTCAGCCCGCAATTTATCTCGGGCTGCCTTATCAAGAGGCGTGCGGACCAAGGATGCGACGTACCACGCCATATGCTCTGCCGGTGACCATAGCTGTGCGGGGATGACGTGAGTCATCAGGCTCAAAAGGGTTAAGTATTTTACCATCTTTAGACAAATCAGAGCCAGAAGTGCCAGTGGCAATCACATCAGTAGAGGGTTTATGATCCTTCTCGAATCTATAATCCGAATCCAGGTCGGATAAATCATTAGATTGGTCTGACTCTAAGTTAAGGGCACTTTCCTCTTGTGTACTGAGATCTGACTAAGTAGAATCAGTTTAGGTTTTTGCCCGGCTAGAGGTTCTCTTGTGCGGTGATTGTATAGTCACGCCATCTTTGACAGGTTTTGAACTGTCCATCATAACCAATTTGGAGGAGTGCTTTGTTTTAGCCAAGACCTTGTGGCCGGGGTGTGGGGAATGAGAGGTAGGAGGAGTCACGGCCAGCATAGAGGCCGGAGGGATAGACAACTGGGCTTGCAACAAAGCCTGTGTAAAGGACTTTGAAATAGATGAGTACATAATGTCCATGGCAGTTGCCAGGGCTTTTGACACAGCGTTAGAGACAGTAGTGTCCATAATAGCCTGAATTTCCTCACATGCTGGGAAACCAACTTCAACCCTAGGGGGGAAAGCCAGGGGGGAATAGGGGATCAGTTTGTGCCCCAAAGGGCCCAGGCAAACTATTAGATGGTTGCATTTTATTAAATAATGCAGAAGCAAAAATTATAAGGACAATTAGAAGAAAAGTGAGAACAGGGTACAATAACCCACAAGAACAAATTTGCCAAGTACAATAATAGCAGTCACTTAATATAAAGGGGATGCGCAGAAAACAGGGAACCGTCCGCCACTAACTAATCCTGGACACTAACTCCGACTAGGGGAAGGAGGGGGTGGTCCAGAGTAAAAGGGAGGGAAAAGCGCGTAAAGAAAATGGCCACTGCAAGGTGGAGACGAGGTGGAGACACCAAAATGATGGCCGCCGCAGCTATGTAAAAGTCTGGGGGTATGTTTCTGGGAACCGAACAGAGTACCTATGCGAATGCAAGTCTGCCGAACCTTGGACTAAGTGAATGTGGCTGAATGCGTGCTCAGGATTTGATCCGAGCGCGATAACAGCCAAACCGCGAAATGGCCGCCGGAGACGCCCCTGACGGGACGCGCATGCGCGACTCAGCGGGAAAGAACCCAGAGAGCTCAGGTAACGTGAAAACGGCATGGGAAGCAACTAGATTGTAGAGATAGAGAAAAAAACTCTCCAGGAGAAATCCCAGTAGGGAAAGTTAAATAATAGTTCTTAAAGGGGAATACAGTTTGGCATAAACCAATAAAATTAGGTATAAAAAATAACAAGATTAACTAAACCAGCACCCAGAGGTACCAGTAATAACAATTAATGAGTCATAAATACAATGAACATATCATACAATAATCATAAGTCAGAAAACTGCGAGAGTTCTACTAAACGGAGGGAGCAGTCATCGATGTTCCGCCTACTATAGGATAAGGATGTCATGTTACTAGGCGGATATTGTCATTGTGATGTTTATACCTGTTTTCAATTTGTTATTTTTTGCTGCTGAGGGAATTAAGGAAAGAGTGCAGCATAATAATAGGAGCCTACGGGTTTTTTATAAAATTTACATTTTAACAATAGAAATACTGGCTCAAAAGATCAGATTGAACAAAGAAATAAGAGGCCTGCCTGTTGCTTAAGAGGAACATCAGATCTGCATGTATGCGGATGATATTATGTTAACGCTTTGCGATCCATTGAGATCTGTGCCAGCTTTGATTAAAGAGGTTGCTAATTGAATTAAATGTCATGGATGGACAGGATACATTGGATAAAGGCCGATATACTACCCAAATGGCTGGACCTTTTTAGACATGTACTATTAGAGATCCCAGGAAGTTGGCTAGATATGCTCCACTCAAGCTTTTTATAGTACTTGTGTTGTGATCAAAAACTAAAAAACCACAAACGCTACTAAAACACTAACTTTACCTGTTACAAAAAGTGGCCTAGGATTCCCCCTGATTAGGGATTATTACCAAGCTAATATTATAGGACATTATATATATATATATATACACACGATACAAGTAATAAACTGAAAAGAATCTGAGATATGGAATAAATTGGAGAAACAAATGATGAGATCAGAGGACCTTTCTATTATAATCTGGAATATCTATTATGACAGATATTACAGACCAAAGGAAAACAGTTATGTGATGGAGAATTTATTGAGGGCTTGGTGGTAAATTAAAGAAAGATTGGGTTTACAGAGGCAGGTTTGGATAACAAACATTAAAGTGTTGGAAACGAACGTTCAAGATTTGAATCTAATAACACGGAAGGACGCAGATATATTTAACATAAAACAAATATTAATGGATAAACAAGGTAAGAAATCTGGTCAACTTCAACAGGAGTATTGTTTGAATAACAGGGAAATCTCATATTTAAGAGTAAAACATTTCTTGGAGGCCACTATTTTTACAGGAGATGAAATTATTGATGAACAAATTAGGTGAGATTTTCGGTAGACAGAAAGTAACAAAAGTAATGTCTAAAGCATTCAAATGCATATGTATTAAATCCAATAATATCAATCAAGAAATTAGGGGAAAATGGTCAAAACTGTTGAGTACAGAATTTAATCAATCAGAATGGTTTGATGCAATGAAACAATACAACGATTTGATTTACTGTACTAATATTTTAGAAAATCAGTTTAAATTAATAAAATTCTGGTATTTAGTACCTCCCCGGCTTGCGAGATTCTCTCCTATAAACAGTTACAAATGTTGGAGATGTGGGAAATCAAAGGGGAACTACCTTCACATTTGGTGGAGCTGTGAATTAATTTTAAAAAATGTGGCAAACGGTTTTCGAGAAGCTTTTTCAGATAGGTAAATATAAATTAGATATTAAACCTTGAATTGCTTTGCTACATTTGAAATGGCTAGAATTAAATATAAAACAACTAACTCTGATAATTCACTTTTTTTGTAGCCACTAAGCTATTAATAGCTAGAAATCGGGGCACATCAGCTATGATATACTGGCCACAAATAATGTTTCAATGCAATATGGAACAAGGTATAAATTGGAAAAGTGGTAGTGCCAGATGTGTGGGAAATATTTTAAAAGAATGGCAAACTATCCTTGAGAGCACAAATGAAACGGGATTAGAGTAATAGTAACAGATTTCCTTTTTCTCTGTAGAGGGTGAAAAGGGCGGTTCTACTATCCATCCAGGTATGTTTTTGTTTGTTGTAATTCATGTATATGATCTCTGATATCGTGGGATGTACTATTTATAATTAGCATAGAGAGCATGATACTGTATCTAGAAATCAGATGTGTTTCTATGTTTTTGTGGAACAATAGAATTTAAAAAAAATTATTAAACAAAAAAACAAAAATTAATAACAGACAGTGTATAGTAAAATACAAATATAACAAAAAATACAGCATCATTCACAATATCACACAGTTAAAGTGCTTTAATCAAATAAAGTGCATGTAAGTGTAATTGCACTAATGTGAGATAATAAAGTGCTTAACTTCCCATCTAGCAATGGAGTAACGAGAAGATCTCCTCGAATCTTCAGTCAATGTAAATATAATATATAGGGTGAGTCCGCTAGGGGAAAGAAACCCAAAAGGGTAAATGTATAGGTGCCAATGGGTCACTCACACTTTAAAGCCAAATAAAGAGCCTTCAGAAATCTTTAGATGTACGTCTTCTCAATTCATGGAGTTGGGTGTTGTAGGTCTCATTTATATAAAATAGATAAAGTGTAACCAAATAAGATGGCTACATAGGTCAAGTGTACAATACAAAATGTATTTACTTACACAGAAGTAAAGAACAGCTGGCATATAAAAATCAAGGTCCACTCAATCCCTACGCATTTCATCCCTCGCAGGGACTGTTTCTCGTTTGAAGATAGGGGCCAAATGCAAATATAGAAATTATATATTTTTTTCAGTTTTCTTGAAACAATTGTTTTTTTTGGTCTATACTATTGATAGTTTTAGAATTTAGTAATTTTTGGTTTATTTGTTGATTCTCAACAGCAAGATTTTAAACAAATGTATTAAATGTTATGTTTTAAATAACTGACACGAGTAGGCAATTACCTTTCTATTCAATTACCTACCACCTATGGTTACCCCCGTTCCTCTTGCCACAGCTTTTCTAATACATTTAGGTCCTATCCCTTTCCCCATTAAAGCAATACTGTTTAATAAGATATAATGTATAATAAGATACAGTATATAATAAGATATAATGTATAATAAGATACACACAGTGTATAATAAGATACAGACAGTGTATAATAAGATATAATGTATAATAAGATACAGTATATAATACGATATAATGTTTAATAAGATACACACAGTGTATAATAAGATATAATGTATAATAAGACAACGTATAAGATACACACAGTCTATAATAAGATACAGTGTATAATAAGACACAGTGTATCATAACATATAGTGTATAAGATACAGATAGTGTATAATAAGATAAAGTGTATAATAAGATATATAGTGTGTAATACAATACAGTGTATAATAGGATATAGTGTATAATAAGATAGTGTATAATAAGATACAATGTATAATAAGATGTAGTGTATAATAAGACACAGACAGTGTATAATAAGATACAGTGTATAATAAGATAGTGTATAATAAGATACAGTGTATAATAAGATACAGATAGTGTATAAAAAGATACAGTGTATAAAAAGATACAGTGTATAATAAGATACAGTGTATAATAAGATACAGTGTATAAGATAGTGCATAATAAGATACAGTGTATAAGATACAGATAGTGTATAATAAGATACAGATAGTGTAACGGACCGTTTTGCACACAAGGGGTAAAAACCGTTTAGGCGATCGGCCCCCTTTCCAGAGATGCAGGCACAGCTACTGCAGAACACCAAACTCCCGAACTGGATACAAAATAGCACTCCAACTCCTGAACTGGAACCTCCCAAATAGCTGCTAGCAGACGAACAGGAAAAGCAGACAATCCGCTTACACTCCTGGCAATCAGTCTCTAACAGCATACAGTGAATCCCCCCAAGAACGAGACAAGGCTCTGTGTTGAGGGTCAAGCAGTGGTCTGTGGTGCTGGCACACCCAGCCTGGTTTTTATTACAGTCTTGCAAATACAGGACTGCCCACAGGGAGGTATAAAATATCCAGTAACATATTAGTTACAACCCACAGATTCCCTCCCCCTTATCCTGAGAGGTAACCCAATACACATACCTTTTACCACAATGCATCCTGGCTTCCTCTCCTCTGCCCTGGAGATAAGTGAGAAGTAATTCAATTATCTCCCAGGACAGGGACAAGACTCCATTATGCACATGGTGACACAAAGACAGTAAAACACTTTAAAATACATAAAGTCACCTTTTACACATAACACACAGACATTTAACATATCCCCAGATAGCTCAGGTCTGAGCGCACATTATTAAGTGAATGGCGCTCAGACCACACGAATACAGTTTAATCGCCATGGAGCCAAAGTCTTTACAGTCAGTTTCATACAAATGGGCTCCATGGGATTCCTATCTGGGGTATAACACATTCAAACAAATCTACCGAACCCCAGGCAAAAAAAGCACGAATTAAACTTTTCTGCAGGTAAAAAAGATGTCTTTTAACAGGGGGCCATAGTCCAAAGGCAGCAGGCGAGCAACCAGGCTTCTCCAATGCAATGTGGCGAGATTGGTCTCGTCACAGATAGTGTATAAGATACAGTGTATCATAAGATACAGTGTATAAGATAGTGTATAATAAGATACAGATAGTGTATAAGATACAGTGTATAATAAGATAGTGTATAAAAAGATACAGTGTATAATAAGATAGTGTATAATAAGATACAGACAATGTATAATAAGATACAGACAATGTATAATAAGATACAGATAGTGTATAATAAGATAGTGTATAATAAGATACAGTGTATAATAAGACAGTGTATAATAAGATACAGATAGTGTATAAGATACAGTGTATAATAAGATACAGACAGTGTATAATAAGATACAGATAGTGTATAATAAGATACAGTGTATAATAAGATAGTGCATAATAAGATACAGATAGTGTATAAGATACAGTGTATAATAAGATAGTGTATAATAAGATACAGACAGTGTATAATAAGATAGTGTATAATAAGATACAGATAGTGTATAATAAGATACAGACAGTGTATAATAAGATAGTGTATAATAAGATACAGATAGTGTATAATAAGATACAGTGTATAATAAGATACAGATAGTGTATAATAAGATACAGACAATGTATAATAAGATACAGACAATGTATAATAAGATACAGATAGTGTATAATAAGATACAGTGTATAATAAGATAGTGTATAATAAGATACAGTGTATAATAAGATAGTGTATAAAAAGATACAGATAGTGTATAAGATACAATGTATAATAAGATACAGACAGTGTACAATAAGATCCAGATAGTGTATAATAAGATACAGTGTATAATAAGATAGTGTATAATAAGATACAGATAGTGTATAATAAGATACAGATAGTGTATAAGATACAGTGTATAATAAGATAGTGTATAATAAGATACAGATAGTGTATAATAAGATACAGTGTATAATAAGATAGTGTATAATAAGATACAGATAGTGTATAATAAGATACAGATAGTGTATAAGATACAGTGTATAATAAGATAGTGTATAATAAGATACAGATAGTGTATAATAAGATACAGTGTATAATAAAATAGTGTATAATAAGATACAGATAGTGTATAATAAGATACAGATAGTGTATAAGATACAGTGTATAATAAGATACAGTGTATAATAAGATACAGTGTATAATAAGATAGTGTATAATAAGATACAGATAGTGTATAATAAGATACAGATAGTGTATAAGATACAGTGTATAATAAGATACAGTGTATAATAAGATACAGTGTATAATAAGATAGTGTATAATAAGATAGTGTATAATAAGATACAGACAGTGTATAATAAGATAGTGTATAATAAGATACAGTGTATAATAAGATACAGATAGTGTATAAGATACAGTGTATAATAAGACAGTGTATAATAAGATATATTGTATAATAAGATACAGTGTATAATAAGATATAGTGTATAATAAGATACAGACAGTGTATAATAAGATACAGATAGTGTATAAGATACAGTGTATAATAAGATACAGTGTATAATAAGATAGTGTATAATAAGATACAGATAGTGTATAATAAGATACAGATAGTGTATAAGATACAGTGTATAATAAGATACAGTGTATAAGAGTGTATAATAAGATACAGATAGTGTATAATAAGATACAGATAGTGTATAAGATACAGTGTATAATAAGATACAGTGTATAATAAGATACAGTGTATAATAAGATAGTGTATAATAAGATAGTGTATAATAAGATAGTGTATAATAAGATACAGATAGTGTATAAGATACAGTGTATAATAAGATAGTGTATAATAAGATAGTGTATAATAAGATAGTGTATAATAAGATACAGATAGTGTATAATAAGATACAGATAGTGTATAAGATACAGTGTATAATAAGATACAGTGTATAATAAGATACAGTGTATAAGATAGTGTATAATAAGATACAGATAGTGTATAATAAGATACAGATAGTGTATAAGATACAGTGTATAATAAGATACAGTGTATAAGATAGTGTATAATAAGATACAGATAGTGTATAATAAGATACAGATAGTGTATAAGATACAGTGTATAATAAGATACAGTGTATAATAAGATACAGTATATAATAAGATACAGTGTATAATAAGATAGTGTATAATAAGATACAGACAGTGTATAATAAGACAGTGTATAATAAGACAGTGTATAATAAGATATATTGTATAATAAGATACAGTGTATAATAAGATACAGTGTATAATAAGATACAGACAGTGTATAATAAGATACAGATAGTGTATAATAAGATACAGTGTATAATAAGATATATTTTCCAGTTATATAAAGAGATCAGGATGTTACTGGCTGCTGATTATTCTCGGTATTTATATAATAATAATAATAATAATAATAATAACAATAATAATAAACATTTCATTCTATGGTCACCAACCTCAACCGGTCTGGAACTCTGTAACCCGGAAACGGAAACAAGAAACAAATTCTGCATGTCCTATCAATAACTTCCGGGTTTGCGTTTCACCTGCGGTTCAAGTATCATAGACCTGTCTATGTCACGTACTATAGGACTTCAGTTCAGTGCTTGCGTTCCAAATACAGGTCAACATGACATCATTTCCGGTATCATCACCATCACCGAGGCACTGCACATTGAAACGCACATGGAACGCATAACAAGGAAGTAAATGAAACGCATTGTTAGTTCCTGACCGTTTCCGGTTCCGGTCAGTGTGATTAGTGCAGAAAGTCTCTCAGGCAGAATGTGTTATTATATAGTATTATAGAGAATTATAAATTATTATTATTATAGAGAATTATATATATTATTATTATTATTATTATTATTATGATTATTATAGAGAATTGTATATCATATAGTATTATAGAGAATTATAAATTATTATTATAGAGAATTATATATTATTTTATAGTATTATAGAGAATTATATATTATTATTATAGAGAATTATAAATTATTATTATAGAGAATTATATATTATTATTATTATTATGATTATTATAGAGAATTTTATATCATATAGTATTATAGAGAATTATATATTATTATAGAGAATTATAAATTATTATTATAGAGAATTATATATTATTTTATAGTATTATAGAGAATTATATATTATTATTATATAGTACTATAGAGAATTATAAATTATTATTATGGAGAATTATATATTATTATATAGTATTATAGAGAATTATATATTATTATATAATATTATATGGTATTATAGAGAATTATATAGTATTATAGAGAATTGTATATTATTATTATTGCTATGATTATTATAGAGAACTTTACATCATTATATAGTATTATAGATAATTATATATTATTATATTATAGAGAATTAATTTATTATTATATAGAATTATATATTATTATATAGTATTTTAGAGAATTATATATTATTATTATTATTATAGAGAATTATATATTATTATATAGTATTATAGATAATTATTATTATAGAGAATTATATATTATTATTATAAAGTATTATAGAAAATTATAAATTATTATAGAGAATTATATATTATATAGTATTATAGAGAATTATATATTATATAATATTATATATTATTATTATAAAGTATTATAGAGAATTATAAATTATTATTATTATAGAGAATTATATATTGTATAGTATTATAGAGAATTATATATTATATAATATTATATGGTATTATAGAGAATTATATAGTATTATATGGTATTATAGAGAATTATATAGTATTATATAGTATTATAGAGAATTATATATTATTATATAGTATTATAGAGAATTATATAGTATTATATGGTATTATAGAGAATTATATTTCATTATATAGTATTATATGGTATTATAGAGAATTATATAGTGTTATATGGTATTATAGAGAATTATTTATCATTATATAGTATTATAGAGAATTATATATCATTATAGAGCATTCCATATCATTATTATAGAGAATTATTTATCATTATAGAGCATTCCATATCATTATTATAGAGAATTATATATCATTATATAGTATTATATGGTATTATAGAGAATTATATATCATTATATAGTATTATATGGTATTATAGAGAATTATATATCATTATATAGTATTATATGGTATTATAGAGAATTATATAGTGTTATATGGTATTATAGAGAATTATTTATCATTATATAGTATTATAGAGAATTATATATCATTATAGAGCATTCCATATCATTATTATAGAGAATTATTTATCATTATAGAGCATTCCATATCATTATTATAGAGAATTATATATCATTATATAGTATTATATGGTATTATAGAGAATTATATATCATTATATAGTATTATATGGTATTATAGAGAATTATATAGTATATAGAGAATTATTTATCATTATATAGTATTATAGAGAATTATATATCATTATAGAGCATTCCATATCATTATTATAGAGAATTATATATCATTATATAGTATTATATGGTATTATAGATAATTATATAGTATTATATGGTATTATAGATAATTATATAGTGTTATATGGTATTATAGAGAATTATATATCATTATATAGTATTATATGGTATTATAGAGAATTATATATCATTATATGGTATTATAGAGAATTATATATTATTATTATATAGTATTATAGAGCATTCCATATCATTATTATAGAGAATTATAGTGTTAGAAACATATGGTCACATTTAGTTACACTGGTTACATGTTGAAGCCTCCATCTTGCCACCGAATGGTTTGTCTGATGTAAGTTGAGTGTTAGTCTTCCATAATCTAACATACAGGTATAAAGGCTCCGCTTATATTAAGAAGCAGTTTCTCCTTATTCCATGACTTGGAAAGTGCAAATCAACCCCTAGAGTCAGCACCTGGAAAACCCTTATTTTACTCTCCATAACTGCCCAACTCTGACATATTGGGGACTTGTCTGTTGTTGATGTTCCTGGGAAAGACAAACATTTTGCTAAGGAGAGAATTCTGCCATATTGGGTGCTGTTCCTGGAAATGGATGCTTTTTGCTACATTGGGAACTGATCCTTGAAATGTTTCTGGGTGAAGAAAATGTCAATCATTGTTATTGAAAGGGGAATATTACTAATAGGAGAGGTAAATCAAGAAAAGAAAACTTCAGCATTGGAACAAGAAGAGGTGATTGCACCAGATTCCTAATACCCTGCTGGATCTTGTCCACTGATACTTTTTCCTGGAGTTGAATTGTGGACATCTGAAAGGTAACTATGACTTTATTTGATACATTTACAAAGTGTTTGAGGGAAATAACTTGCTCAGATTGCAGATATAAGTGACACAGTGAGCTATGTATTTTGCTACCATCACAACTTATTAATTATGTTGAGTTGTTGATGAAAATAGAAGATAGACCTTATTTATGCAGCTATAGACCCTTCAGAATGAATCTCCACAGCCATGGAATCATTGGTAAACCTTAAGGATACAAGGGAAAAGGGGTGTTTGCATCAGGTGCTATTACAAACGATATATACTTCGAATACTTTGTTGGAGAGTGAGAATCACGTTACAAGTTGGATCTAACTTAGAAGAAACTCTGTCACAGTTAGAAGATGCAAAAACTCTCAAAGATAATTCTGTACACAAGGCTATAGTTCTTTAGGATAAACTGGATGAACTTATACATAGAAACAATACTCTAGAACTTGCTCTAGAATGTTTACATACAAGTGTGAGAGGACCATGTATTAAATTAGGAGGCTTCAAAAAAAGGGGTTAAGGAATATTTCTCAGACCATCAAATACACCAAAAAAGGGTACACATTGTATATTAACATATGTATTGATTTTATTTGGAACATAAAGATTAATATCCACACAAAAAAGTACCTGTGTGCACCCACAAATCCTTGGGAAATATTATAAAAACACCTGTATATCCTTTAGAGCAGGGGCGCCCAAAAGGTAGCTCTTCAGATGTTTTTAAACTATAGCTTCCATGATGCTTTGTCACTCTAAAACCACTCTAAAGGCATGCAAAGCATCATGGGAATTGTAGTTCTACAACATCTGGGGATCCACCTTTTGGGCACCCCGCGTTAGAGTACATTCCACCACCATCTGATCCTGGCAGCTGTAATTCTGGATGAAATGGATGAAATGTAGGAACAGGTTACACGCTCTAGGACAGTGGTTCCCAACCCAGTCCTCAAGGCACCCCAACCAGTCCAGGATTTAAGGATTACCAAGTTGTGTGTAAGGTGTTTTTTTTCTTCTTTGTAAAAACACCTTAGACACAACTGGGTAATCCCTAAACCCTGGACTGGTCAGGGTGCCTTGAGGACTGGGTTGGGAACCACTGCTCTATGACACACAAATCGAACCTACTCCAAGTCCTCCTACACACCCAATACACACAGTAAACGGTATACACAGTGACGTTAAATCATTCTAGATTTATTGGTGCTGCCTCATTACATGATTCTAACAAGTTCAATGTGTGGATTCGGTAGGGAGATACAAGCAATCTCTTTAATAAATCTGTCCGTAAAAGGTTTGGGAGATAAAGATAGGGAGATGGAAGGATTTACCAATTCAGTCCCTGTATTCCTTCAACGCAGCAGGGACACAATTATTAAAGTTAAAAGTGATATACAATGACACGGCTAATATCAGTTCGCCACAATAATCCATATCATCTGCTGCATGCGTTATTGTTGACTATTTGGCTCCTATATTAACTAATCAAGCATTAATGTAAGAAAAAAAGCTTTAATTAAAATATATGAGAATGATGATATGTGTTAAGGTTAAAGGATCTTAACATGTATAGCCCGGAGGAAAGACAAGACAGGGGGGATATGATAGAAACATTTAAATATATAAAGGGAATCAACACAGTAAAGGAGGAGACTATATTTAAAAGAAGAAAAAACTACCACAACAAAAAGGACATGGTCTTAAATTAGAGGGAAAAAGGTTTAAAAATAATATCAGGAAGTATTACTTTACTGAGAGGGTAGTGAATGCATGGAATAGCCTTCCAGCTGAAGTGGTAGAGGGTAGATGGGCCGAATGGTTCTTATCTGCCGTCACATTCTATGTTTCTATATATCATTATATATTATTATAGAGAATTATAAATTATTATATAGTATTATAGAGAATTATATATCATTATATAGTATTATAGAGAATTATATATTATTATAGAAAATTATATATATATTTGTGTTAGGTGCTTAAGATAGTACAGTGTGAAATACCATGAATAAGCGTAGGATGATAAAAGGAGCAAGTCGGTTGTGGTGTGCCGAAACCGACGATGAGGTAGGCCTGAGAAAGAAGAGGGCCCACCCAGGAAAAGAAATAGAAAGGAAAATAAATGTTAAAAGTGGTGTGGTGGGAGGGTCATTCAACGCTGACCTCGAACGGTAAGGAGCCAGGCAAGGGGAGTGCCTTAAGTAGGCTAGGGGTAGAAAACCAGCACCTCCCACAAAT